TACGTATTTTTGCAAAAAAGAAATCATAAATACGTACATTTTTAAATGTTAAAAAGGGCAAAATCCGTAAACTATTCAAAAAATGGCATTTTCGTAAGTTTTTCCAAAAAAATGGCATTTTAGACAATAATCCCAATTTAAAATGCATTATAACTTTGATGTCAATATGTTTATCGAAGTAACTAACATAAAAGCTAAAATGAGAGTGGGATTTCTTCTTGTGGCATGTCGGTGCATGAATTATGTCAACATAAGTTAATGTTTTTATTTATATTGATAATCATAGGTTCTAGCTGTTGACGATAAAAACACAGAAGCCTACCTAAAAAGTCGATAAATTCTCTAATCTGTATGGAATATTAGTACTGTACGAGGATTTGATTTTATTCGACTTCATAAACTTTCCCGCATCTACGCGTTCTTACCTAACTCATATATCAAAATAAAATATGATATTTTCAAGTTAAAAATTATTTTAAAAACGTTTTATTTGGGCACAAAATGTTGAAGATTGTGGAGAACAAAGAAATAAGGAGGTAAATAAGTGGTTTTATTTGTTCTTGAACCGATAAAAAGAATCAGATATTTAGGATTTCCTTAACTAAGTGATTTGTGAATTGTTTTTTTTTTTAAGCTAAAGCATCAGTGGTTCTTAGTTTATATCATATAGGAGATCTTGTTGGTTTCTTTCTTTTGAAATTATTAAAAAAAAAAAACTAACACAAGAACTTTCCGAGATGTCACTCATCCTAGTATTTCGCTTAAACACACTTAACTGTGGAGTTCTGAAAGGATCCAATATTTTAGTGCTGGTATGATTGCATCACAATTTTGTTGGTTTTTGAAGACAACGCACTCGAAAAGAGTAAAACTATGTTAGCATCACATTATTTGCGGTATCATTATCAAACATATCAGGATATCCATGGTCATGTGTGTTGAGTTGAGACCATCGGTGATAGACTTTTGAAACCTCATTTTAAAAGTAACTAAAAATTTTTCTATCTTTTGAAACCTCATTATTTGTATATTATCTAGATTTTATGATCCTATTTTGGTGAAGACTTTTAAGGTTTCTACATTAAGTATATTCAAAAATTCTCAGAAGGCTATTTATCTTAGTTATCCTATATTTTCAAATGTATCACTACTTTGTCTTTAAAAATTTTCCGCTACGTTAATTTTAAATATATGCCACTAAGATCAGTTGGTCAAATTATATAATCAATTGAGTTTCGACCAAGGATCTAGTTTGGTTATAAAAATAAAAAGTATTAAGCTTTAGTATGTTTATGTATTTGTGTCAGCATCGTTTAAAAAAATATGCATGACGTGCACTGCCTCCTCTTAATATCTTCTTCTTACTCATCTCGTACGGAATATGGATAAAGTAAATTAACCCTAGATAGTGGAAACTGAAACAAAAAGTTGTCAAATGCATTATCATTCGTGAAGGAACGAGTTAATTTCACAAATAAAGTTATAAATTTGTAAAACTAGAAAACTAGAAAAGCTACTGAATTGTCCAAAAAAAAAGGAAAAAAAAAAGCTATTAAATGTTAGTAAAGAACTGGAAGGTACTTGCTTATTAATTTCACAAATATGTTTGTCAACATAGATACGATGGAGGTTTTTACTATAACAACGTACACTTTTTATGGTGACATGGTGTGGTTGTTATAATTTTTCTCGTGCATCTTATTTCACCATAATAATAAAGAAAAGTAAAATCATGCTATTTACACAAAATTATATCATATCTGTGAGTGGTACTCTTCTTATGCGTCGCCTCTTTTGGTTACAAAATATGTAACGATATACAATAATGATATGTAGTCATCATTTCTTGGACCCTAATTACTACGATCGTGAAGAACAATGTATGAAAACAACCATTATTCGTTTTGTGTATGTTTAAGTGTAAACTGAGAAAATGACAAATAATTGCAAATTGGAGTAGTGAACCAAACTTATGGTGGGACGACATTCGTACCGACCGAAGATGCTCTAGAATCTATCTACACTTTCTTTTGTCAACAATATATCTGCACTTGTATATGCTAGTGTTATGTGTGTGTCAGTGTGTGTAAATATACATATTCATTGTTGTCGACAGAAAATAAAGCATTCGGAGTTTTATTAACAAAATAACAGTGTCTAGGTAAATAAGCATTTTAGTGGTAGCATTAGAACTGAACACAAAGTGAAAAAGTTAATATCAGTAATTATTTTGTTCCAAAACTACTAGATAAGTAATTAACAAAAAGAAAAAAAAATTACTAGATAACTAATTAATTTTCCAGTCCGCTTCATTAAAAAAATATCAGATAATTTTGTTTGAATATACACATGATATCTGATATACTAAAATATTTTAAGTTAAAAGTTTGAAATTTTAAATTAAAATATACGTACTGTTTGTAAACTAACAAGTGAATAAGATATGATATTACCTAATTTTCACGAAAAATGAAAAAAAAATAGACTTAAAAAAGTGAAGAAAAAAACTGTGTTTCTTACCAAAAAAAAAAAAAACTTCATTTAAAACTCTAAAATTAAAATTTATATTTTTCTTAGTAATGTAAATTAAGTTTGTAAATATAATTTTACTATGTATATTGTTACTAGTTTAAAACTCTTGCTATGGATTTTAAAGTACACAAAATACACATAAAACTATAAATTCATGATAGATTAAAACATGTATATATATACATAATGGATATCTAGATGTTCTAAAATTACTATTTGTGATCTTACTTTGTTTTTTCAATGGATGCTATACTTTTTTGTTTCCTTCATTTGGATCATTATAAATATCTTGAATTTCAGACCTATAAATACCTAATCGAAGCGGATCTAAAAGATAATATGCCTTTGATAGCATTGATGGCCATAGCATTGTAAGCGGATGCTTCACTTTACTAAAACATTTGCATATGATTATGAGCATTCAATTGATACTTTTGTTGTTATATGTACTATAGACTCTCGAGCTTTTTGAATCTTGTTTACTATCAAACAAATTATTGTTCTGCATTATCACTTCGTGAATGTGTTATCTCCTTTAAGTTGAGTAAAAACTGAATTTGATTTTTTTCTCATACAGGGTACGGTCTGTTTTTTTTTAAATGTTGATGAATAAATATGAAGAGCTTTGCAGATATATCTAGTACTATCTCGAGCTTTTGGAGTCTTTGCTTTGAGGAACATGCAAAAGTTTTTAACCTTAATAATGCATGGTCTTTTATAGAACATGCAAAAAGGTAATAACGTATATATTGTTTTGACAACACTATTAGTTACAACTTTATGTGCTCATTTAGTTTGGTCCATTGAAATATAAGCTCATAAAAAACTTTGAAACTTCACAATTTAATAATTAAAAAAAAATATGCGAATTAAGTGAATTACTTTTTGAGAAAAAAAAATCAGCATCATTTATCTTCTTTTTTTTTTGAATCTAATGTTAAATTATATTCAAAAGAAAAATAAACGTTCTTTACATTTGAATGCAAACTTTTTCAAAACAAATTCATAGTGATCTCAATGTTGTTGTCTTGCAAACCACACTTGAAGTTCACTCGGATATGCTGCCTCCCACTTTCTCCTTATTGTGCTTAATCGGTTTCGAAGGTTCTTATCGATTAGCTTCACCATCATCTCTGTCGTAGTTGGCTCTTCCCCGTGCCTCCTACCGTTTCTCTCTCTCCAAATAGAGTGGATTGTGTTTTGGAACACATACTTGAGTATAAATCCTTTGGTTTTGTCAATGTCTTTTCCCGCAAGTATCTTCATGATCTCTAGCCATTTGTCGGAGAAAGAGTCTGTGAACAGTCCACTGACCAGCGCCTCCCACACCTTTCTTGAGAACGGGCATTCGAAGAATAGGTGATCTCTTGTTTCCAGCGGGTGTTTGCAGAAAATACAGCTCGCATCCACGTTCTGGTTCCATTTAATCATTCTATCCCCTGTTGCTACTCTGTTTTTCACAACTAGCCAAGTTAGGAAAGCGTACTTTGGGGTAGCATTCGCAAACCAGAGCTCTTTGTATCCTTGCATCATAGGTTTTGGTGTGCGTATCTGTGACAATGTCTCTTTTGAATTGAACTGTTTCCTGTAACAGTCCTTCTTTCCCTTCCATAACGCAATGTCAGATTCAGTTTCAGACCGGCTTTGTTTCTTCTTCATAATTTCCTCCTCAATGAGATTCAGAGTTCTCTGCCTATGCTTTCTTCTCCGATCTCTGCTCATCACCTCCCCAAGCGTGCTGGAAATCGGAATGCCCATATCAATGCAGCCTCTTTCTCCTAGTTTCTCTTGAAGACAACCCAAGTAGCTCCATGGATCAAACCAAAAAGAAGTGGTTTCACCATTTTTTGCTTCCACCCGATAGAACTGTTTTGCTGTTTCTCTATATTTCAATATCTTCTTCCACATCCATGAACCACATGATGTGTTTTCTTTCACAGCCCAAATAGATCCTCTCCTTATGAGATGTCTTTTAATCCAATCCACCCAAAGAGATCCTTTTGTAGACAGAATTCTCCATATTAGTTTTAATACACAAACTTTGTTCGCTTCTTGTATTGATCTCAGCCCTAAACCACCCTCACTTTTTGGCGTGCATACCTCCGACCATGCAACCTTCGCTTTCTTCGGATTCAAAGAAGGACCAGACCATAAGAACGCAGCACACATCTTATCTATCTCCTTTATGCATGCTTTTGGAAGTCTAAAAGCTGTGATCCAAAAATTTATCAGACTGAAAAGTACAGAGCTGATCAACTGAAGCCTTCCCGCAAAAGAAAGTGTTCTAGCTGTCCACGAAGTTATCTGAGATCGTATCTTCTCCAAGAGAGGCAGATAGTCGGCCTGTGTCATCTTCTTTGTCATTAATGGCAATCCTAAATATCGAACCGGTAGTGATCCTTGTTCGAATGGGAATTGTTGCAAAATGTCCTCCTTATTTCTAGTGGCTACACCTGCCATGAACAAAGTAGACTTCTCCAGACTTATTTTTAAACCGGAGTGAACTGCAAAGTCGTCAAAAACCTCCAGAACTCCCTCAATTGATCTCTTGTTTCCATCGACAAAAACCATCAAGTCATCTGCAAAGCATAGATGAGTGAGTTTCATTTGCTTATAGTTAGGGTGGTAGCCTATTTTTTTGTCACTTGCAGCCTTGTCTATCTTGCGAGAGAGCACGTTCATGCATATGACAAATAGGTATGGACTCAGTGAACAACCCTGACGAAGTCCTCTTTCACTATTAAAATACCCTGCAAGTTCTCCATTCACTTGCACCGAAAAGGAGGCTGTGGTGACACAGGTTTGAATCCAGCTAACGAACTGCTCTGGGAAGTCGAGTGCTCGCAGTGTATTGAGTAAGAAACCCCACTGTACTGAATCAAAAGCTTTTGATATATCGATTTTCATTGCGCAACGTGGAGAAACGGATTCTTTATGGTAATCTTTGATGATTTCTGTAGCAAGTAACAAATTTTCCATGAGCAATCTGTCTTTGATGAAGGCTGATTGGTTTGGAGAGATAAACTTAGGGAGAATTATTTTGAGTCGATTTGCGAGGATCTTCGAGATGATCTTATAGAGCACGTTGCAGCAGGATATTGGCCTATAATCCTTCATTACTCTTGCTTCTGACTTTTTCGGTATCAAAGCCAAGATAGTTGAGTTAACTCCTTTTGGTAGAAAGCCTGTCTTAAAAAAAGATTGGATAGCCACCACAAAGTCTTTGCCTACTACTGACCAAGATTCCTTAAAAAATTCACATGTGAAACCATCTGGACCTGGGGACTTATTCACTGGCATTGCGAACAGAATTCTCCTTACCTCCTCCTCCGAGACCTCATTTGTCAGCATTAACTTATCATTTGCATCACATTTAAAGTTCAGAATGCTTTCAAGCTCCTCCTTTGACCATTCTACATAGTCCGCTGGTTTCATAGACAAGAAATCCTTAAAATATCGCTCAGCTTCAGTTTTGATGCTTTCTTGGTTCTCTGCAATTGTACCATCCTCACACTGAATTTCCTTTATGTTATTTCTGATTTCTCTTAGTTTTGCAGCTGCATAGAATGTTTTATTATTCTGGTCCCCAGTTTTCATCCAGTGAAGTTTTGCTTTCTGCTTCAAATAAGTTTCCTCGATGTCCGATAGCCTCTTCCATTTTTCATACGCATCAGCCTCCTCAATGACTGCCTGTGTAGATGGATTGGCCATTGTCGCTTCCTGTAAGTCACATAGTGTCTTATAGGCTTCCTTAGTGCGGATTGATATGGTACCTACCATCTGTTTTCCCATCTTCCGCAGGTGCGGTTTCAGCGCTTTCAGCTTCTTTGACAGCCTGTGAATTGCAGAGGTTGAATGGAACAGTGGAGAGGAGAGTCTCCATTGCTCTTCAAGCTCTTTGTGGTAGCCTGCATAATTCGTAATCGCATTAACAAATTTAAAAGGTCGCTTGACCCTTTGTATCGCCTCTGTGATATGAATTCTGCATCTCATGTGATCAGAGCAGCCCCCTGGCTCAAACACTGAATATGATTGACCATACTGCTGGATCCATTCCTTGCTTACTAAAACTCTGTCTAGTTTCTTACAAATTATTCCCTCCTTTCTCTTGTTACACCATGTGAATCTCTGGCCTTGATAGCTAAGATCAGTGAGTTCACAATGTCTCACCAAATCCTGAAAATCCCTCATCCCTGGTGGAATAAATGGAGAAAGATCGAATAGAGAATGATCATCACCTTCTAGTACTTCATTAAAATCCCCACATATGAACCATGCTTTGTCTTTAAACAGAGGAGAATCATAGTGGTGTTTTAAATCACTCCATAGCGTTTTCCTTTCAGCCACAAAGTTTGATGCATAGATAAATGAGGCAAAAAATTCTTCTTTTTTTCCTTCAATGTATATTGAGCAAGTAATGAGCTGTGAGGTTTTATAAAGTGGAGTGACCCTTACATTATTCCTCCACACTAGCCATATCCTGCCTAAACGATGATCTTCATAATTTGATATTAACGACCAGTCTTTGAAAACTGACTGTACTATCCGATCAGCTCTACCTTCCTTTACTTTTGTTTCAATCAAACAGCCAAAATCAAACTGCCTCTGCTTTATCCAGTCTCTCACCACTCCATGCTTACTTTTTTTATTAAATCCCCTAATGTTCCAGAAAAATCCAGACATTAATGATCTTTTGGTTTTTGACGAGTTTTCAGAGTACTTGGATTTGGGATCCGAGTGTTCTGCGTCGTACTTGTCGAAAGGAACTTGTGACCATCTTTAGAAGCTCTAGGTAAAGATTCTCTCAAGGTCACTCCCACTTCCTGTCTTTCACCTTGCCTTCCCAATTCTTTTGTTTGGGTGATCTGTTCTGTCATCTTTACTGCCTCATTTCCTTCACTCTGCTCCACAACAGCTGTTTCTACTTCAGGTAACTCTACCATTTCCAAGCCATTAGTATCTACCTCATGGGACTCCATCTCCTCTCCTTTTTCTCCTTTGTCGCTGAGACATGAAAAAGAATTGGACATAATGGATACCTCACCATAGCGTAGTTCATTACTTTTCCCGGGACTTCGTATCACTTTTGTTGGTGTACTCCATACCTTCTCACCCTCTTCCGTTTGGCTCTCATGTTCTCCACTATTGTCTGTACTGTTTTGTGATAAATCACTAGTCAGAGGAACTATATTCTTCTTTATCTTCTTTTTCCCTAGTAACTATTATTTCACATAAGAGTAGCTTTCACCAATTAAATGGACCACAATTTATACTATTGTTGTTGCCTTGTTGGCGTTGTAACCATCCATATATAAATCTGTTTATTACATGTTGTTAATAAGAGAAATATGCTAATGAAATGTTTTTACTTATTAGAAATAGTCTTTGGGCCTAGGAAGCTTCTAAGATCACCTGAATTTAAAAAAAAAAATGTTTTCAAAATTGATAAATTCAGCAATTCTATTTAAAAAAAATTTTGTTAATAACAATTCAATAGTTCATCACTTAATATATATTAAGATCTAAGAAAAGAAAATGATATTATTTGATGACTTTGATATTGATATATAAGAAAATAAGCAGAAGGGTTGGCATCTTGATTCGTCCTTCGTGATGAATATTTGTCTTAGTGCGAATTTTTTATTTTATGCTCTTTGACAACTAATTAATAAACGTCAAAGATCCGACACGTAAAGATCAAATTTTCTTGGAATTTTATTAAAAACTAAATATATACTTGGCCACAGGAAAATCATGTGTCAAATTTATATATGCTAACTGAGTGTCAAGTTTATTATACTTTTTAAAATAAAGTTGAAGAATAGTTCTCCGAATCGACGACCACATCTATTTCAATTACTTGAAAAGAAAAAGTTTGAATAACATAATTAGAAGCTTTGCTTCTTTTGTTTAATATTTTACTTTTTAATGATTTTAGTATTATAAATTCTGTAAAATATATGTGTTGTGTTTTTCTTTGTTCTTCGGTTATATTAGTCATCGAAAAAAAATTTGGTTACATAACACTTTTTTTTTAACTAGAAAGTTTCGGATCAAAGCCCATATTTCTTCTTAAACTCGGGCCAGTACTGGCCTTTTTTTTGTCCGTGTCATATGCCACTCAATTATGTGACCTCTTGGAATTTTCCAAAGTTTCTTTCGAGTTGAGCTATCAACCTTTGGTTATGATAACACTTTGAATCTGTGTTTACATAATTGCTCCCGTTCAAAACGATGAAACTAGTTTGCTTCCGAAATTCGATTTATCATCTTTGGGCTAAATCGAAACCAAAAACGTCATGACGAAGCTCCAACACCGGCTCCGATGTTAGTGAGCACCATTAATAAAATGATTCGTGGTAAACTTACCTTTATTCGCAATCAAGATAAGCTCGTCGTTATGATGCTCTCCTTATAGTTTGGTTTGACAGGTAACACGTTACAGATTAGGAACATTCTTAACTGAGTCAACTAATCCAGACCTTCTTGCCAGGTAGCTGCTTTCAGTTTGAAATGGATTCTCTAGGCCTAGCTACAAGCTTACCTGGCTCATGTTGAAGATGCATAAGACTTTCATAAGATAATTTTTTAAGAGATTATTAAAGTATCGTATAAGCATCACCTAAATTTTCTATATCAAATTCTGAATTACATAACTTCTCCATCGTCTTCTAGAGTTATTCATTTTCCTTTGAAGCAATAATGAGTAGTATATATATAAATATACAAATCATAAGAATTTTATGAAATAGACACAATTGCTATATGGCTTTAACCTGGTTTTAGCTATTATTGAAAAATACTTTATCCTTAATTATATTTTTTTTTTATAAACCCTATCGGCTGATCCGGTCAGCCCCGGTAGAAACGCACCGAAGTGCTTCAGAGTGGACTACTCCCCGAAGGGCCACCACACTGTCTGTCCCGAGTTTGGAATGCTTTCCGACTAATTATATTCCAGTAACACGTTACAGATTAGGATTATGTGCAAAATAATCAACTATATAAATACCATATATCTTGTTCATTAACAGATCAATCAACTCACATTTAGTATTGTTTTTTAACATAGTCATATTGTATTATATTGCTTAATATATTTGAAGTCATGTACTACTTATCTTTATTTTTCTTCAATATGATAATAAGAAAGAAAGAAAGAAAAAAATGAAAGCAACTGAAACGAATCATCATTAAAGCTGACTTAGAATTACAAAGTCCCTTGAGTAAATGATTAGTGTTTAGGATTTGGTTCGGCATAAAGCTATAAAATCTACAATTTTTGTGGAAAAAAAATTATTATGACAATTCGATTAATATCTTAATCGCCTCTTCTTCTATTGCAAAGTTTTATTGTTATTCGTCGGACACCTAAACAAATAGACTTTCTGATTTAAGATTTCTTTTTAGATGAATTTTTTAGGGAAAAAGACAACAATCAAAGGTTTGGAGAACATTATGATTCAACGAAGACTATCTTTTTCTTTAAGAAAGAGAAGACACAATCTTACCCAAAATCGTTAGCATCGAACTAGCAAGTGCCACGTCCGAAAGAGCACCTATAATAATCACCCACAACACAAATAAAATTCGTATTTTTATTTTTCTATCAGAAAACGTATAAAAATGTTCTGAAAATCCCTCACAAAAGAAAATCAGTATTTAATTGAACATATAAGCTCAGTGGAGCCATTAATAAATTTAAGAGAGCATGCATTATCTATACGAACTTTGATTATGATTATTGACAATCGATGGTGTTTATATTTAGTATAGTATATATAGTTTTTCATATGATCTTTTCATGAATTAATTACGGATTTTGCCCTTTTTCATAGTGGCATTTGTGGATTTTGCCCTTTTTTGAATAGTTTGTGGATTTTGCCCTTTTTTAGGTTCTAAAAATATGATTTAACATGCGTTTCACTCGTTTTGTTTGGGTTTAGTCGGTTCCATTTGTTCTTAGGGTTTAGTATTTGGTATAAGGTACGTATTTTTGCAAAAAAAATCGCAAAAAACGTACATTTTTAAATGTTAAAAAGGGCAAAATCCGTAAACTATTCAAAAAATGGCATTTTCGTAAGTTTTTCCAAAAAAATGGCATTTTAGACAATAATCCCATCTTTTCATTCCAATATGGATGAATAATATTACCTCATGCAGGCACGATTTTTTTTCCTCAGAAAATATATAAATACTTCACTGAATCAGATTCAAAGTTAAGTTTTTTCTTTCTTTTAATAGCTTTTGGGGCAACACCTCTCTATAGCTCCATCAAAAGCAAGGACTTGGTAAATATTTTTTACATTTTGTGAAAAGAATAGGGTAAAAGGATAAGACTTGCTTGTTCTTTTCTTTTTTTTCATTAAAAGAATAATTTAGACCAATCTTGTTTTGGAAAAAGCATAGGGTTAAGGATAAAGTTAACCTATATGGTAAAAAGATTTCATTGTTTTTAGTAAATTCATATTATCCTCCCTATTAATCTGCAACAAAAATATTAATTCTAGAAAAAATAACAAATTGCTCATAGAAATGTAAATTTTCAATAACTTATATTCAAGAATCTTGTTCCTTGAATGAAATTTTCAATACTTCGTGTCGTAATAATCTTTTGCATCCCATCATTATCAGACATTATCCAGTCCTTTTCACATGATATCTAATATTTCCGTAGGTATATATTGTCGTATGATTATAGTTTATTTTGCAAATTTATTTTATTTTAGCAAATTTTCGTAACTTAGGTTGAGCTGAAGATCGATTTCAAAGTAAGTTTGAAGGTCTGATATGAATAAGTCTTTTTCATTTAATAATGCGTTATCATATTAATTAATAATTAGAAAAAAGCTTTTGGGGTATTTAGTAAATTTTAACTTTCTATTAATATATAGGCGGGAAAAAGGTGTATATATATACAGCTGTATTGGTTAGGCTGATCTTTGAATAGAATCTCTAGAATAAATGTATCGCAATGAAGCATAACTTTGTTCTGTAATGTTCTTAGCTTTCTGTTTTGGTGTCAAATCCAACCACCTTTTTTAACAATAATGTTAATTTCTTCTTCTCTTTTCGAGCTACGTTTCCTCATTTAATTCAGCAAATCACACAAATAAATATTTAGTGTCAATTAAAAAAGGTAGAAATGCTACTAATAATTATTGGTGCATTTGAGTTCATGTTCAAATTAAAATTATCTTGGACCAGAAACAACGTAAAACGCTTTGCTTCTGTCACTCTCAAAAAAGGACACTATGTTTTTTCCATGCTATGACATCATAAACATGCTACGTGTTCAAGAAAAAAGAAGACTTTGTCTATTCTCTACTTTTTTTGGTTTTAATTTGTCTATATTACTTTTGCATTGCCGCATTTGTTGTAGTTTTTCTTACTCTCAAAAATATTAGTTTTATCTCTGTTATTTTAGGTTAATAATTAGAGAAATACATGAAGAAGTATGTATACCAAAAAGGTATGTATATAAAAAAAAGGTATGTATAAGAAAAATTAAAATTAATACCAGTGATGATTTATGTAACAGGACCAGCGACATATAACCTATGTAAGAGGACATGGTTGTAACAGGTTACTATAATATCAAATTATGTAACAGTTATATAAACCATTAATGAAAAAAAAAACAGTTCATTATGTAACATATGTAAGAATATCATGTCCTTTAAAAATAACTGTTGTGTTTTTTTCATTAATGGTTGTTATGTAGAAATGTTTGTCCAGCTGTAACAATTGTTTTTGATATCATATCCTGTAAAAATAACTGTTTTTTTTTTTTTGGTAAAAGGTTAAGTTAAATACCTTTATCTTTTTTTCATTGATTGTTGTCATGTAGAAATTTTTTAAGACAACAGTTATAGAAAAACATATGAGGAATATATACAAAGTAACTATGGATTCAAAAAGAATATACAAACTAACCATGAGCTACAGTAACTTGTCTGTAATATGTCGGAATGCATGTGTAATTACGTAAGTGTCCTTTGTAACACGTTTTTTTCTCGAATTACATGTGATAACACAATATATCTATTTTT